GTAATGTTCTGTTTCTCAATCTGGATGCTATTTACACGAGCGGTCACTTGGTAAAGATTCTTTAAGCTGTGTACTTAAGATCTGTGCACTTCATGCATTTATGTTATACTTAAAAGTCTTTTTAAAAGGTAAATCACAGTTAACAAAAAAAGTACAGAGCTATATTTATATCTGATGGTGGCAGCGGTGGTTCAGTGGTAGACTTCTTGCCTTTCAGGCAGGAGACTGAGGTTCATTCCCGGCTAACGCACCTCATGCGCAGCCACCACCCCTCTATCAGTGGAGGCTTGTGTGTTGCTACAATGCTGAACAGGTTTCACTGGAGCTGACAGACTAGGAAGAAAGCCCTGGTGATCTGCTTCTGAAAAATCAGCCAATAAAAACCCTGTGGATCACAATGGTCCAACGATCATGTTACGCATGGGGTCACCATGAGCCAGGTACCAACGTAACAGCAGCTAACAACAGATTTATATCTTATAGACATACAAAATGTTCACAACATAGTGGATGAATGAAGTGGGTTACAGAAACAGTATCTTTTATTACATTTACATAAAACTATATATATATATAATATGCACAGAACAACGTCTGACATGATGGTCACAGTGTCAACAGTGGGTATCTTGGAAGAATTCAGAATTTTTTCAATTTCTTTTTAATAATTCCTACATTCTTTAAATCTGTAATAAGCAGGCACTGTTTTATAATGAGGAAAAAAATAAAACTATTTTTCATCTTGCAAAATACATGACAGAGAAAAATTATTATGTTATTCAAAGCACAAAATTATAGAAATAAAAAATTGAGTCAGTATTTGACTTTGTATTTCTCAGCAATACCGTAAAAGACGGATTATTTGTCCCTAAAGAACATACAGCTGTTCTGAGAGTCAAGTGACAGATGGCAGAAGTCACAATAAACTGTCAGATCGCACACTTTACCCTATACAAGGAGCCCTGGTGGCACAGTGGTTAGGCACTCGGCTGCTAACCCAGAGGTCTGTGGTTCAAACCCACCAGCCATTCCATAGGAGAAAGAGGGGGCAATCTGCTTCCATAAAGATTCCAAAACCAAAAAAAAACCAAACCCCATTGCTGTCGAGTAGATCCCAACTCATAGCAATCCTAATAGGGTAGGGTAGAATTTCCCCATAGTGTTTCCAATGCTGTAAATCTTTACGGAAGCAGACTGCCACATCTTTCTCCTCTGGAGCAGCTGGTGGGTTCGAACCACCAACCTTTCAGTTAGCAGCTGAGCACTTAACCACTGCACCACCAGGACTCCTTGCATAAAGATTACAGCCTTGAAAATTCTATGGGGCAGTTCTTCCTGTCCTATAGGGTTGCTGTGAGTTGGAACTGACTCGATGACAACGGGTTTTATCTTACATACTGTAAGCAATTAAATAACGATGCTTTCTCACCTCCAGCACCTTCCTGCATTCTTATTCTATTCAACCTCCGCTGCTGCTCTCTTAGCAGGGCTTGCTGTTGAATCTCTAGGGTATGATGATCTCTTGGAGGATCCGGGTACATACATTTCAGATCGACTCGAGTTTCTGAATCTGGTGCAAGATATAAGTTATTTAGCTAAATTAAATCCTGTTTCCAGATGAGACTGTAAATAACTCCATTATAAATAATATACCAAAAACCCCACGGCAACTAACAAAGTCCATGGTTTATATTGTTCCTTGATTTTGAATTAGATTACTCATTTATGGGAGCCCTGGTGGTGCTGTGGTTAAGAGCTACAGCGAGCTATGACTGCTAACCAAAAGGTCAGCAGTTCGAATCCACCAGGCGCTCCTTGGTAACTCTATGGGGCAGTTCTACTCTGTCCTATAGGCTCACTATGAGTCAGAATCAACTCAACAGCAATGGGTATATAGAGGCACCTGGAAAGAAAGTCCTGGCAATCTGCTTCTGAAAGGTCACAGCCTTGAAAACCCTGTAGAGCAGTTCTACTCCACACACGCGGGGTCACCATGAGTTGGAATCAACCCCACAGCAACTAACAACAACGAGCATTAGGGAAAACTAGGTGAGAAGTTTACAGGAACTCTGTACTACCTTTGCAACTTTCCTATAAATCCGAAATTATTCCCTCCCCCTGAAAAAACTGAGGACTTCAAAGAGCTTTTATTTATGTATCTCTCACTCACACACACAGACACACATATACACACACTACATTAGAAATTAAAACTGAGAATATTTCAAAACCTAAGAATACACAAGAACACATTTATGAGCTTCATAGCGATGAAGTCATCACATGTCATGTAGCCTCTGGAAAACTGCACTGAACACTAAGGAGAGAATTTGAGAGTGAAAAAGGCAAATAATGTCTTAGTTTACTATAAAAGTAATTCTGACCTCACAGGCCCCTGAAAGGACCCCCACGGGTCCCTGGACCAAACTCTGAGAACTACTGGCTTAGTACAATGTCTCGCATATAGTAAGTAATCAATAAATGATAGCATTAAAAAACTACTATAGTACATGCAATTGATGATAGTTGTAAATCTGCATAAAAAAACAAGACAGAAAATTGAATAAATAACAATGATATCGTGTTTTTTTAAAAAATTTTATTTTGCCCAGAAAGAAGACTGGAAAAAATCTAATAAAAATGTTAATGATGTTTATATTTAGGCGGTTTTACTAACATGTAAAATGATATTATCTCCTCTTTCTATCTTTCCATATTTTCCAATTTGCTATAATAAATATGTATTACGTTTGCGCTATCCAAGGACCCTTACTTTCAAAAATAAGAAAAACGTATAGGGTCATAGGACCAATATCCAGCACTCTGCCTCCTCTGCTCCGGCCCCTGCTCTGCTGCAGGCTCCTGAACACAGATAAGACGACAACAGCAACATACTTTCAGTCTCCCGAGCCTCAGGCTACCTTGGTGTTTCCCTAAGAAGCTTTCCCCCTACTCCCTCTAGGCAATTACATCACATCTTCTCTATTCTGTCCCTCAAATCCCCTAGATTTCCTCCTACCTACTCAGGGCCCTGATCTCTTCAATGGTAATCATCTCCCTCTCCTCTGTCTCCTGTGTTATGTTTACTGCCTCCAGCACCCTGCCTCCTAATCAATCCTCATTTGCAAATTTAATTGGCTTCTGATTCCATAATTCCACTTAAAAAGATCTAGTGAGGTCACCAAGGACCTCTGATCCAAATGACATTTTCGAGTATTCACCTTACATCCTCTTTCCTGGGCTTTCAAGATATCACATTCTCCTGTTTCTCCTCCAGTCACTCTGGCCCCTCCTTCTCAGTCTGTTTCATAAGCTCATCTTCTTCTGTCCATCCTTCATTAAATGCCAGGTTGCGTTCTTCACAGGAGTCCCTGGGTGGCACAAATGGTTCAGCGCTTGACTGCTAACCAAAAGGTTGGCGGTTCAAACTCACCCAGAGGCACCTTGGAAGAAAGTCCTGGCAATCTGCTTCTGAAAGGTCACAGTCAAGAAAACCCTATGGAGTGCAGTTCTACTATGCAACATATGGGGTGACAATGAGTCAGAATGGACTCAAATGCAACTGTTTTGATTTTGGTCCATTCTTCACACTATTCTACATGATCTCATCCACTCCTGAGACTTTAACAGCGATATGCTCTCCAAAAGAAAATATTTCACCAAACTAAGGTTTCATCTACCAGATTGGTAAATCGAAGAACTAGAGCATAAAAAAGTGTATTCCCCACCTGGAGCAAGGGACAATGAAGAAAACCAAAGACACAAAGAGTAGTCCAAAGGACTAACGGACCAGGACTACCACAGCCTCCATCAGACAGAGTCCAGCACAACTAGATGGTGCCCGGCTACCACCACCGACTACTCTGACAGAAATCACAATAGAGGGTCCCGGACAGAGCGGGAGAAAAATGTAGAACAAACTTCTAACTCATGAAAAAAGACTAGACTTATTGGTCTGACACAGACTGGAGAAACCCCAAGAGTATGGCCACCGGACACCTGTCTAACTCAGTAATGAAGTCACTCCTGAGGTTCACCCTTCAGCCAAAGATTAGACAGGCCCATCAAACAAAATGAGACTAAAGGGGCCCACCAGCCCTGCGGCAAGGACGAGAAGGAAGGAGGGGACAAGAAAGCTGTTAATGGGGAACCCAAGGTCGAGAAGGGGAGAGTGTTGACATGTCGTGGGATTGGCAACCAATGTCACAAAACAATATGTGTATTAATTTTTTAATGAGAAACTAATTTGCTCTGTAAACCATCATTTAAAGTACAATAAAACAACTTTTTTAAGTTTTATTCACCATAATTAAAAATATACATCATAAATGAAATTTAACTTTAAAAGAGGGTGCAAACATGTTTAAAGATATTTGAATGCAGTAGAACATTCCTGATGTATCTTTAAAATAGCAGCATTCTACTCACCTCTATCCTTCAGCTCATTAAAGTCATGAATATTCTGAAAAGTGGCAGGATCTAAGCCCTTAGGAGATGGTCGTCTGACAGGAGCTTGCAACCGATGTCTAGCCATGTCAAATATATCCATCGGATTCCTTTCTCTTTTCCTACAGATAAATGACAAACTATGATAAATGTGTTTTATGGGAAGAAAATCTGAGTTCACATTTAATTGATTTGGTATCTTTTGCCATAATATATTATAGAAAATTCTTCTAAGAGCTCTGTTATTTTAATCCCTTATATTAAAAATAGGGTATTTATAAGGTCATTGTTGGCAAACTTTCAAAATGCTCAGACGGAAAGTACCTTATAAGAAGAGCAGAATGATTCAGAAAATGTTCATGAAGTAAAAAGATCACAATCTCTGAGATCAGAAAAACCTAGATTCAAATACCAGCTCTGCTACTTACTAGCTGTTTGGCCTTGGTTTCAGCATCTGTCAAATGCAGATAATGTCTATTCATCATATTATTGTTGTGAGCATGAGAATTAAGAAAAATTATGTATTTTAAAGTATGCAGCATACCAAAAAAAAGGAAAAAAAAAAAAAACAAACCCACTGCCCTCAAGTCGATTCCAACTCATAGTTGACCGTATAGGGCAGAGGAGAACTGCCCCATAGAGTTTCCAAGGAGCGGCTGGTGGATTCGAACTGCCAACCTTTACGGTTAGCAGCTGTAACTCTTAACCACTGTGCCATCAGAGCTCCACCTAGCACAGTGCCTGACATATATTAGGGTATTGTTGCTGTTAGGTGCCGTGGAGTCGGCTCTGACTCATACTAGGTCCTCACCCTAAAAATAGAAGTTACATGGAGAAAATGTGCTGGCCCATATAATGAATATTAACGACAGCCCCTAACATTAGTTTTACAATGGGCTTTCACAGAACTTGATACCTGATTAGTTAATTAATAATACTCTATTCCTATTGTATCTAGGAAATTAACATAAATGGCAAGTAGCTTAGTAAGGGAATTTTCTGCCCAGGCTTTGGGGGATTGGCAATAAGAGAGGACAGGGATCCCAAAACTCACTGCCGGGGAGTCTATTCTGACTCATAGCGACCCTACAGGACAGTAGAACCGCCCCACTGGATTTCCAAGGAGCGGCTGGTGTATTAGAACTGCCTATCTTTTGGTTAGTAGCCAAGTGCTTTAACCACTGTGCCACTATGAGTCCCAGAACAGGGATAGGGCTGGTTTTTCTAGCCCTGAAAATAAAATAAAACCAAGTATCTACTGCTGCTTCCCTCAGCACTAGGCAGGCTCCCTCTATTTGTGAAAATGTAGCTACAGTCTTAGAAGAGTTGGTCAGACTCTTCCATCATTTCTTTATAGAACCCGACAGGCAATGCCCTGCTCTTAGGGAGTTTCTTTTCTGTGGGGGATTCACCAGGGCCATAAAACTACTCTATGATGGCTGACACCGACCTCAAATAATCACTGAGGGTGATGGGAGCAGCACTGGAGATTCATTAAAATGCAAAACAAATACCCAAAAGGCTTCCTGGAGGCCATTATATCAGACTCCTGCCTGGTTTCCATTAAAGTCAATAGTTAAAGAGATTCATGAGTTAGAAATTGGGTTATTAGACCTATATTGCAGGTGAGCTGAGCTATGTTCATTTCATTCACCAAGGTATACATTGTATCTAGCACATAGTAGGAGCTCAATACTGTGGTAAATGAATTAATGATTAAAAGATTATTTTTGTGAAAATATTTATAAAATTGGAACAAAGAACCAACCTTGAGATGCCTCTAATCATAATACATATTAAAAATGATACCAAAATAAATATACTTAACCAATTCTTGCTAAATGATGGTAATTCTAACATCTGTTGTCTAACTTGGTTTCTCTTTCTTAAATCACACTGGTTTGTGAAAACATAGCACAGTCTTCAATTTATGAATGAAAATAAAGAAAATGAATAAAATGTCAGCAATCCATTATACTGAATTAAATACGTAGGTTTGGAAAATGCAAAGGTGCAATAGTTAAGGCATTTATGTAACATTATAATACACTGACTTCTCAGTTACTTATAAGCAGTTGACCGACTATAGGAGAATTATTCATTGAAAATTACCACCTTGGGTTAACATTTCAATATCTAGCCAGTCTATATTTTGAAATTTCTTCACCTTATATACCTAGCCAGAAATGCTTAGAGAATGCAAACAAAAATCTAAGCAAAGAATAACCAGGCAGGTTAACATGTACATTAAAATCCTACTACATACCAGATTAGAGTTGGAGACATCAGTAGGACTAAATGTGGATTCAAATGGCTACGCACAGGAATAATTATAGATACGTGTGGATACATGGGTTAGTACACATACATAGACTACCTAGCTCTGTCCACTGAGAAGGCCTAGAAGCTATGACACCCAACAGCAACAAGTACACTCAGTGCTCAGATCTTGGTTTCTAAATACCTTTCTCCAGTAAAAGGAATCAGGGCTCCTTGATTCTAGGGCTGGAGCAGGGAAAATATGAGATGATCCTGGAGCAAGTAAGGAAGTGCTCAAAAAGCAAAGGGATGGGACCATGTCAAAGGGACACAGCAGTCAACCTGACAGAGTTCCTAAAGGCCAAATCTGGGACAATTTAAGCAACAAAATACAGTATTGGAATAAATCCCAAAGTACAAAATAAGTCTACATGAGACAATACTGATATAAATAAATGCTTAGATAAATATACAGGGAAGACGCAAATCTTTCTTACAGAAAATAATATATGTAGATGCCTGCCCTCTAGGATATAGAGTTTAATCCCACCCCTTTCTCATTCTTAAAGGTATCCTAGGGTATACTAGACACAGTGATCCACTTCCAAGGAATACTAACTTTACTGTGGAGAAACCTGGCAAACCCTACTGTAAAGCTATGAAGGTTAACATCACCAGGGATGTCATGAAGAGCTACTTGCTCCCAATATTGATTTTTCACTGAGTCTAATTCTATTAAACATTTTATGGTTAAGGATAATATTTTTTGTTTTCCTTCAGGGAAGTACTACTTCTTTCTTTTTCTTTCTTCCTCCAGAGTCCCTGTCACCACCACCACCACCATCATCATCATTATTACCATAAATATATTGTTGGCAGTATGGAAGGGAAATTAAAGTGCTCAATATTTAAATACTTTATAGTAGAATAAGTAAATACTCATTTATATATACCATGTATGTGAATGAAATAAATAAATGTGGATAAATGTCTTATATGGGCAACTTTACATAAAATTGAAGAATGTGAATACAAAGATATGTCAATATTAGTTAATTAAAGAAAAAGCTGTTTTTCCAAAAGAAGAAGAAGAAAACCTACCATATATTATAAATGCAAATAGACTCAAATCAAAATCATATACTATTTTGGATTAGTTGTGATGAGTGCCTCCACTAGAATATTTATATAATATTTAGTTAGACTTCTTTTGGGGGCATTAAGCTTTCATCAACCATCTTCTGAAAACATTTTTAAGCATGCAAACTATCTGTTCTAATAAAAGCCGCTTTATCAATAAAGATCAATTAATCTCATTTCAAAACTGTCAAATTGCTGATAGCTTCTGAATGACTGATAGAGGACTCCTTATCCTCAACACAAAATAATTCACGAAAAAGTTTGAGAAATGTGATTTAAAACTTGCCTTATATGAATGCCATCATCACTGTCCATATGTAGTAACTGCCCTTGGAGACGCCTCTCTTCACTACGAAGCTGTTTTCTCATTTCTGATAACTCCATAATTACATTTTTTTTCTCCTCTTCGAATTCCCATTGATAAACAAAAAAAAAGACAGGTATAAGAATAAAGATTAAAGATTAAAATATAACCTGACCTATCATAAAGCTAAAATGCTCGGTCAAAGAGACGTTTTCATGAAAGATGTCTTAATGTCTGATATATACACACATATACACAGATCATATTTATGAACATTATTAAGACCTACAAAATACATTCCTGGTTATATATGAATTTCAAAAGTTAAGAAATATTCTTGGGGTGGAGTGCAACTATAAACAGGTAACATATGGGAGTTCCTTTGCAGTCACAGAACAACTCTGTATGTTGATTACAGTGGTGGTTACATGAATTATACATGTGATAAAACTGCATAGAACCACACACAAACACACACACGAGTGCGTGTAACAACTGGTATGATCTGAATCTACGTCTGTAGAGAGTGTACCAACGTCATTTCCTGGTTGTGACATGTAAGATGTACCACTGAGGGAAGATGGAGGAAGGGTACATGGGCCCTCTCTTTACTATTTTCGCAACTTTCTGTTTCTATATCTCAGACAAAATTATCTAAAAAGTCTGTAAAAGTTAAAAAAAGAAAGCAATATTCTAGACTGTAGATTTAACAGTTAACAATACCTTCTGCACGGAGCTGATTTTTCCTGGCAGGTACGGGAGGAGACTGTGCCCTGGACATGGAACTTTCCTATTTAACAATCATAATGAAGATATGCTCAAAATGTCTTCCAGAAAGGAGTAATTTTTTGAAGTAACCATATGTAAAGGAAACCAAACATGCCACTATCCTACCTGTAAACTTACCTACATCTATATCTATTCTTCCTTCTCATCTCAAAGGAGGAGTCCTTGCTCCTACCCAAAGACAATCCCTTCCCCTGTACTCTGTCTGATGAGTGACTTCCTCCTCCTCCATCAGTTGCTTTGTTTTTTCCAATACCTTCCTTTCCTCTAGCACCTTCCTCTTAGCCCATGCTTAAAAATCTCTCCCTTCTTTAAACAAAATAAAACTGACCTTCCCCTTCTATACTCACTATTGTCCATTCTCTTCTTCCCTTCACGGCCAAGCTTCTTTAAAGAACAGTAAATGCAGCACTTATGCTGTCTATGTCCTTATTCCCATTCACTAATCAACATACAGCTACTGCCTTTGCTTCTGCCCCATCACTCCACTAACTGTTCTCACCGAAGTCACCAAATGAACCCCCAAATGACATATTCTATACTGGGCATTATTAAGTCCTTATTTTACATGGCTGATAGCAACTGATACCATTGTCTGTCACCTTCTCTGTCTCCATTTCCTTTCCCTGCTTCTTGAATGTTGGTAATTCACCAATATTCCATCCTCAGCCTTTTTACTTCTCCTTTTATACACTTCTCCTAGATAACCACACGAATTCAGCAAGCACCGATATGCTAATGGCTTGCAAAACTACAAATCCAGCCCAGAATTCCTTCCTCAGCCACAACCCATATTTTCAACAGCCTGCTCTATATAACCCTCACCAGAAACTTGAAAATTATCATTGACTCCTAGCCACCACATACTCAGTCAATAAAGATCACTACTGAATATGTCTCTCTTAAATATGTCTTAAAGCTATCACTTCTCTTAGCTCTTAGTGTCACTTCCTCTGTTAAGGCCCTCAAAGTCTTGCTTCTGGACTTCTGCAAAAACATCTTAACTTGTCTTCACGTTTATAGTCTCATCCCACCTCCAATTTATATCTCCACACCACTGCCAGCGAGAACATTATATAAGGCATAAGTGGCCATGTCATTCTCCAACTTAACATACTGCAGTGCATTCCATGCATTATCTACCATCAACCTACTAAGTCAGAATCTCAGAGGGTGGGACTCAGGAAGATGTCTGTCTAACAAGTTTCTTTGCCTATTCTGATAATTAGCCTGTTCGGAACCCAGCAGCCTATGGAATACGGTTAAACTCCTCAGGACTCCATAACACCCTGAGTATGTCCTGATCTCCACCTCTTTGCTGCCTTATTCACAGGCATAGTCAGTCCACATCAAACCACAGGGTATGCTCTATGGGTGCCAAGCCTGCCTACACTTCCCTCCGTGCCTTTGCACATGCCAAAAGTCCAACAGCCTCTTTCTCTTCATGGCGAATTCCTACTCATTCTTCAAGACTCAACTCAAGGATGAACCCCTCCAAAACGTTTCCTGCTCTGCTTTTAATTGTAGCTCAGTCCAAAGTATAAAGGACCATTATCGTTATAACTACACCATTTGTATAACCACAGCTAGCTAAAAGGGATAGACCATCAAAAAAGGGCCTTCTTGACAGGCCTAGACAAGAACCATTTGCTAAATTATGGTTTGTGAGAAGAATTTACACTTTAGAGCACTAAGGTCTACCAGTTACAACTGAAGCAGCAGGCAAATAAAGGAGACATTACTCCGTCACACGGGGTCGCTACAACTCGACAGCACCAAACCACCACCACCACCTCTGTTTCAGACCTGAAAAAATTTAACCTAGCCAAGTAGGATGAAAGAAAAAAATCTCATTCCACTCCCCCAATCCAAAGTAACTGACTTAATATCTAAGATCAACAAATTTAAACAAAATATATATACGTGAATAAAGGAACTAATGATGCTGTCAACCGAAGGAGGTCTTCGCAGTTTGCTTGAGATTTTGTTCTGAAGAGCAGGAACTACAGGTGAAGGCTGTCTCAAGTGCTGAAAAGTTTAAAAAAAAAAGAAAAGATATACATATATATGCAGTGTGTATGTATACAATATATGGATATACGTGTATGTGCATACACACACAAACACATACACAGTCTATACCTAATATTTATTATATAAGACCATCGAAGAAGTTCAGGCTGTTATTGTTTTTATTTAATAAAATACAAAAGAGTCAGAAACTTCCATTACACAAATTCAAGTATACAGTAAACCTGCAAAAGCCGGAACCTGTGTAAGGCAGAAACCTGTCAAAGAAGGAAAACTCAAACATTTTCCACTAAAATCAGCGATAGAAAAGTGGTAAGACTGCACCCTGTCAAAGGTGGAAATCTTGCGAGACCCAGGAAAACAAGACAGTCCCATCAAGCTCCAGTTCTCACAGGTTCCATTGTATCAGTTATGATAAACATAACTGGATTTAGATACCCCTACTAAAAGATTTGGAGCTCTGGTGGCGCAGTACTTAAGAGCTCAGGCTGCTAACCAAAGGGTTGGCAGTTTGAATCCACCGGCCACTTCTTGGAAACTCTATGGAGCAGTTCTACTCTGTCCTATAGGGCCGCTATGAGTTGGAATCGACTCGAAGGCAACAGGTAATGGTAAGGTACTAAAAGATTAGTCCCTGGACAGTGCAAGTGGTTAACAAGCTCGGCAGCTAACCAAAAGCTTGGAGGTTCAAGTTCACCTAGAGGCACCTCAGAAGAAAGGCCTAGAGATCTACTTCTAAAAACTCAACTACTGATAACCCTACGGAGCACAGTTCTACTCTACTCAGACACTCATGGGGCTGCCATTGAGTCAGAATCAACTCAATGGAAACTGGATTAAAACATATGATTCTTAGATTAGGATTAAAAAACTCAACAACTAAGTAACACAACTGCATATCAAATATCAATAAAAAAGCAAAGAGATAAGCCAAAGAAAGTAAAAAACTGTCAGTAACAAAAAGGACTGGGACAGAACTAAAATCCTTTTCTGGAAAACAATACAAATCAACTTGTAAAATCTAGATCCCGGGTTACCCAGAGCATCCTGGATGTGGGGATTTTCCAGGTCACAACCAGGATCTATGTCTCCACAAGTAAATAAGATGGGGTTTCAGTTTACAGTATACTAAGGCTAACAGTCCAAAAGTTTATATTAAAATAAAAGTGCTAAAAAGATTAAAAATTCCCATTACGATGTAATAATAATTATCTGGATAAAATCCAGGTCAGAGTATATATGTGTATGTTAAACTCTTCACTTTGCATGGTAGAAAATCAAATATTAGTTTCACTGCTGACTTTGATGAAATTAGAAATATACAGTAAAAAATGTTTTTTAAAAACCCCAAGATGGGAGGCTTTCCTCAATGAGCCCGAGGCCAGCAGAGGCTTTCAGCGTTCAGATCTCACCAGTGCTTCAGAAAGAGCAGGGTCTTCTAGAGTAAGGCATTTTCAGAGCACCCTGGTACATCACGAATGAATGCTCCAGAAGCCGCAGCTGAAATGACGTTTGAAGCGCCCATAGATGAAAAGAAGTTTGAAAAACCAGAAGATGGGGGAGAATGTGAAGAAGAGACTTCCGAAAAAGATGCTAAAGAAGGGCGGCCCCAGTGAAGGGTCTGAATGAAGAAGGCTGGCCAAGAGAGGGTCTGAGGGAGGCTGCCGTGAACGGGGCTGAGGAGGGCAGTCCCGGAAAAGAGTCTGGAGAGAGTGGCGCTGAAAGCGAACCTGAACAGAAGATGCTCCAAAGAGATTCTGGAGAGAATGGCCTTGAGAAGGCGCCTACAGAGGACGGCCCTGAGAAGGATTCTGAAGAAGGCTGCTCTGAAAAACAGCGTGAAGATGGCTCTGAAAACGTGTTTGGTGAGGATGGTTCCGAGACAGAGTTTGAAGAAGATTCAGATGAAAAGAAGAAGAGGGAGATGCAGATGAAACAGTATTTGATGGTGAGTCAGATGAAAAAGGGGATGAAGGAAATGCAGATGAAAAGGGCTCGAAGATGCTGACGAAAAGGAGGAGGACGTAGCAGAGGAAAAGCCATTTGAAGATTCAGACAAAAAGGAAGAGATCGCTGAAAAGTTGTTGGAAGATGACAGTTCCGACAAGTTGTTCGATGAGGATTCCAGTGACAAGTTGTTAGAGTCTAATGAGAGGGGCACTGTGGGTTGTTTTGGGAATCTTCAAGAAGAAGAGTCTCGTCCACAGGGAGCAGCTTTGTCCTCAGAAGTGATGATGACGATATGTAATCTCTTCAACTTGCTTTTTTCTGAGAGTCCTTGGTCTACGTTTGCCTCTGTTTCAGAGTAATTATTAGTAGTATTACATGAACGTGTGCATGGTGGTAGGATGCCATCAGATTAATGCATTGATGTTTTCACTGTTACCTGTACCTAATAATTTTAAATATGTGTTAACTGGTTGTTCATTTAAAAGTTCATGGTCATAATACAATTGGATACTTGTCCTTTTGTCAGATTTGTTAAATGCATGCAGAATAATATTTTTTAAAGTATTCTGACTGAAGTTTCTGATACTCAAAAATAAAAATAAGTTGATAATATGCAGAAACAGAAAAAAAAAAACCCAAGATGACCACGAGGAGAATTACAAAGAAAATATAAATCTTCTAAAGCACGGTACAGTATGAAAACATAGTCCACGTAACAAGAAAAATAAAAAACTATCAAGGAAGTAAAAATGAACCAAAAAAGTCAAATTCAATTACATAAGATCAAGTATATCAATTACAGAAAATCTGGTGGATTTAGATATTTATTAGATTATGACTCTCAGATTAGGATAAAAAACAAATCCAGTTAACTGAATTACTGTATAACCACCCCAAAATAAGATGACACAAAGGTAAAAACTAAGAGGGTACACAAAAATATACATCAGGCATACATAAATAAAAACAGTGACAGCAATGTTAATTTCAGAATTCAAGGCAAAATGCATTCAACGGGACAAAGCTGGTTACTGTAGTACTTCATAATTAAACTATTAAAAAAAGAAAAAAAACCCTTTCGGTTAGCAGCCAAGCTCTTAACCACTGTGCCACCAGGGCTCCGGTTAAACTTTAACAGTCACCTATTCCTAAGAAATCTCATTTTTAAGAAAATATAATAAGAAATTGGCAGAAACACAATTGCAGAAAACTAACAAGTCTCTCACTTTTAAATGATGAATTTTAAAAATGATATGAAATTTGAATAATATACTTATAAAGGCTGAATAAATGTCTATAAGACTTTATAACCTACAGAATAAAGACCCTTTTCTTGCCTAACAATCCTACAACAATGAAAACAAACTAAAAACTATAGATCAATCTCACTTATAAACTCTCTTTTAAACAATCTTTCAGCAAATTATAATTGTGAATATTTATCACTTCTATGGCCATAAAACCCTGGGGTAAGAAATCAAATAGCATGTTCTGAGCTACTGAGAAAATGGCTTATGTTATAAGCAGTAGGTATAAATACTGAAGAGCGTACCAAATCACATTATAAATACAACAAAGGAGGCTGCCAGTTAAAGGTACTCTTTAAGTGAACTCTGCTTAGAATAAACCATGTTTGTATAAATCTAAATTTCTGATAACAATTTTCTTAAATTAGATTGGGCTAACCCTAAAGACAGACTGGTTTCTCAAAGTGTGCTCCACACACCAACTGCATCTGAACCCCTAAGAATGCTTGTAATATGCAGATTCCTAAGCCTCCCCCAGATTTAGTAAATCAAATACTTTGCAGGTAAAACCTAGGAACTTGCATTTTTAAAAGACCTTCAATGATACTTATGCACACAAAACTTTAAGTATAACTGTAAAATATGGGCAAAGGTGTGCATCAGATACTCATAAGGGACAATTAGTTTTCTAGAGAAAAAAACAACCTCTAATAATTTTGATTCATGCACCTTACCCTGAACATCAATCCCCTTAGTCAGAGATACAGACTTCAAACCAGTCTGCAGTAACCATAAGTTTCTTTTTAATTTCCAATCCATAGTGGACAGATTTATAAAATAGAGTAAGAATGAATTACTAGATGAATAAAATTTTTAAAAAAGGCATGCAAAATTCAAGCCTCATGTTTTTATTAGACTCAATAGACATAAAATTACTTTTACACATTGCTACAAGTTTCTAAACACTTAATTTTTACTGATCTTGTTATGAACCAGTAACGAATAATTTGCGGGGTACTGGTCTATAGACCACAGTCTTGGGTAGTACCACCATGGACCATAGCAACAAGACTATGAACGACTAAGGTAAACCCATTACATTCACTAGGGAGAAAATACCAGCAAAGCACAGTGTTGATTTTGTGTGTCAACTTGGCTAGACTATGATGTCCAGTTATTCAGTTAAAACACTAGTCTAGACTCTGTCATAAAGTAGTTATATGTGATTAAATCAGTTGGACTTAGGTAAAGCAGATTAACCTTCATAATGAAGGTGGGTCTCAGCCAATCAGTTGAAAGCCTTAAGAGCAAAAAGGGAGTTTTCTGCCTCCAGACTATAAACAGACATTTTGTCAGAACTCCCTCACTCTTCACTCTTCCATTACCTGACCTAAGGATTTGGGGACATAAGACTGGAGGAACCTCCAGTCCATTGCCCAACTTAACGATTTGGGACTTCCCAGCTTCCCACAATTGCTTGAGTCAGTTTCTTAAAAATCAGTGAGTATCTCTCTCCCTCTCCTTCTTCTAAAATATCACTGGTTCTGTTTCTCTAGAGAACCCTAAGACACACAGTGACATCAACTGATATAGGAGTTCAGCACACTGTGCCCAGACTAGGTAGTAAGGTAGAATGGGGAACAAAAGCACCTCCTCCTTTCTCTGTCTAACACCTCCGCAACTCTCTCACAGTGAAAGTGGTGTAACTATAGGTTTGATTGACATTTTCACCAGAAACTTACCTTTGTCTCTTCCCCAATCATATTTTCTCTTTCATAGTAATGCTGAAGTTGCAGGTTATGTTTTTCTTCTTCGTCCTTCTTTTTTCTTTCTGCTTCTTTTCGTCTTTCTTCAGCTAACCGAATTAGCTCTTCATTTTTTAGCCTTTGCTATAGAGAAAGCAAAGGTAGCAAAATAAAGAAAAAAATATTCACTCCATACGTACGTTTTAGAGTCCACTAAAAAATTTTCTGCCTTGTCTGAAATAGATAAGTCACACACACACAAACATATGTGCACACACATACATATATATAAAATAAATGAAATTATCTACTTAATAATACAATATTAGGCATCTTTTATAACAACCTTAGTCAGACTATAACTATTTTTTGGCTTAAAAAATCATCATTTATCTCTTTTCTTAAAAAAGCCTTTCACCTTAATAAATTAATATCTAATGAATAGATATCTGGTATTTTCTAAATGTACTCCAAGATTGTTCTCCTTTACAAATAACAAATATCTTTCAAGTCAAAATCAAGGTTTTTCAGACTAAGTAGTAAAATGCAGCCAGGAACAATGCACCTCCTCCTCTTTCTCTCTCTTTTTTTCCTGTTCCTCTTCGTACTCTTGCTGAATCCGCGCCCTCTGCTCTGCAAGCCGCTTCTCTTCTCTTTCCTCTGCAATTCTCAGTCTCTCTCGCTCTGCCTCCTCTCTTTGTTTTTTTTCCTCAATCTACAGAATTAAAACCAGTTATTATTTTGCAAAACTACTGAAAAGTTAGAACACTATTTATTGTTTCCTGGTATCCCATGAATTCAACATTGGCCCCAAACTCTTTTTGCAAGTAAAAATGAGTTCTGAAATTTGTCGGTTTCCTATATTTTATCAGGGAGGCTACATGATACAATGTTAAAAGCTACATAATCACTTCCCCAAAATGCCATCTTTCCTCTCTTGGCAGGCTGATGGGAAAAGAACTAAATCTATTAGGTGTAAGAGGATTTAGGTGGCAAGGATTCATCTCGAAAGCCTCTGGGGGCCTGTAGCGCAGAGGACTCTGGGGGAGTATCTGCAGGCAGCCTCTAAGATCCAAAGTGAGGAGGACCCTGAGATAGTTCACATCCTCCATGAGCAATAGGGAAGGCCTGCAGCTTGGGGACTAGGTATCTGTGATAACTGGTTTAAGGTTATCGATAGATTTTAGTAACCCTTAAGTATGGCAGCAGGATCCCTGGTGGCACAGTGGTTAAGTGCTCAACTGCTAACCCAAAGGTTGGGGATTTGAATCCACCAGCTGCTCCACAGGAGAAAGATGTGTCAGTCTGCTTGCATAAAGACTACAGCCTTGGAAACCCTATGGGGCAGTTCTACCCTGTCCCATAGGTCACTATGAGTGGTAATCAACTAGATAGCAATGAGTTAAGCATGGCTATTCATATGTTTATTGTTCTCATCTGCACTTCCTCTAGCTCTATCTACAAGTTGTTCTATCTAGTGCTATCAATCTTTTAAGCTATTTTTAATCTTCTCTAATATTCTCACTTGTTTGATGATTTTATATTCTAGGGCTTCTTTCTCACAACACTGTTATATGCACAAAATCCTAATTTGCATACTTAGGACTATGTAGTGTGCATGCAATCACTTCTTCAAGCACAACATATCTAGAGAAAATATCATTTATGACCCATACTCATATGTCACACTCAGTTCCCTCTCCTTCCTACCCCATAGAGTTTCCTCCAATACTAGCAGTTTTTTTCAGAGAGAATAATTTCCTAGAGATCCCTAGAAATATCAACATGGTAACTACAGATATGATATTTGAAGTCAGGAGACTTGGGGTCAAGCACTGGCTTCGTAATTTGCTAGCTCTGCCACCATGGGCAAGCCTCTTAGTCTGCACTTTAGTTACATGGCATAAAATAGAGATAACAAGACATTCCTCAGGAAATTTTGAGGTTCAATGAGCTACTACATATAAAAGTAGCTTATAAACATTAAAAGGTTTTACAACTGTAAGATTTTCCCCCCTGAATTCTACTCTAGACTTTGCTAAGACTTTCTAAGTATAATAGGAGCTACTTAAAGATTTGACTTGTTGTCATTATGGACAGTAGAACACAGGATCCCTCAAGTGCAACAGGTGACTCTGTGACCCCATGACCTGCTGCTATGTGACTTCAGTGGCTGATACCCTTGAGATCTCTGATGCCACTCCCTAATGTTCAGTACCTATATCCATTCTATTGATCCTTAAGAAAGGCCTTTCCACCATTTCCACTGTTACTACTCTAGGAAAATATCCCTGCTTCCTGTCTTTTTGATCCTCCAAAAATATATCCTAAACATTAATGCCAGATCAATCATCCTTCAAGACTACATCAATTATATTTTTTCACTATTTAAGAGTCCACGATAATTAGGATTAGAAAGCACATGATATGTTTGAGGGAAATTTGTTTAAGAGGAATCTGTCTAAGACAGTGGAATTAGATTAAAACCAAACTGAACCCAAACCCGTCGCCGTCGAGTTGATTCCAACTGATGGCGACCCCATAGGACAGAGCAGAACTGCCCCACAGGGTTTCCAAGGAGCAGGTAGTGGATTCAAACTGTCGATCTTTTGGTTAGCAGCCGCAGCTCTTAACCACTGGGGATTGGGTATCCTTAAATGTCAGGCTAAAGAGTTTGGACATTATTCTACAGGCAAAGAAAAACTACCAGGCTTTGAGTAAGAGGAATCATATGTGAAAAGTCATATCCAAGGAAGATTAGCCAGTCCACAGGATTAACCTGACACTAGGATGTAAGTGTGGTTGAATGTGTGTGTGGGGTGGGGTGAGGGGGTGCTAAGAAGAGAAGAAACTGTGAGTCCTTTATGGGCAAGGATCTGTCATCTCCGGCTCCAACTCTAGTATTCAGCACAAGGGTGGACAAGAAGCCCGTGTGCTTAATAAACACTGGATGCTCCAGTGTCTTCACTTTGGGCATGTCCTTTACGTTAAACGCTATTTGCTTACACTGCATACATACATGGGGAAAATACTGCAAAATGTGGCTATGTTACACCTGATTTTTATTTATTTACAACCTGAAGTACCGAGTCAAGAATATCAAATCATTTGAAAAAAATTACTGATATTCTACTAACTTATAAACACCTAGAAAGATTCATTCTATTCCTAATAGGTGAATATTTTAGTAAGTCAGTTTTAAAATTTTTAGCATTCTCTGTTTTAATTAATTAATAATTTAATAAAGTTCAGAAAAGACTAAGCAACCTGCTGTATTTAACATGTCTCCTTATTTCCTTTTTCAGATATAACTGAGATAGTAATATAATTTTAGTACTACCTATATCTGATAAAAAATAAGTATTTTAGATAACTACATGGCATTTTAGAATTTAGCCTTTATCCTGTAGATAATTTTACAAGTTTTGTTTATGAAAGGTTGTTAAAATTCCTATGAAACTTTGAAATAAAGATCAAATAAGCATTTTACCTGAAAACGAAGAAAATTCTTGTATAATTCTTGCTGTTTAATCTGAAGTTCAGTTGGAGGCTCACCAAACATGTTTCCCCGAGCAAAAGGAGAGCTCTGTGTCTGCATATAACCTTGACAGAGACATTTTGCAAAAACACACCATTAACCAGTGCTTAGAAAATACAGATTAAAGAATGAAGAGTTTGCTAATAAATTCATATTTTGAAAAATTGTGCTAAATAATAAAGTCTAGAAGTTAAGATCAGAAGAGGAAGGCCGAGATTAGAGTCTAAAGACCAGATGAAAGTAACAAGAGGAAAAACCAGGGAGACGTAAATAAAATTAATAGTCGAAAAATCATACTATATCTATACCTGAAAGATGCCAAAGGAACATGTACAAGCTAACAGCCGAAACAACTATTACTCCAACAAAGGCTTGAAAGTAGAATTTTTGGAGAGGAAAAAAGTACACATTTAAATTCTATGTATGTGAACATCCTTCTCTTAAAAATAATGCTAATCATGTTAAAATGCAGTAACATATGTGCATATATATATATATATATATATAATTTCTTTTAAATTGTTTTAAAAACCAGTAATTCCAAAATAGTCTTCCTATCCATAGTTTAAACAATAGTGAGAAATTAGCAAGCTTTTGTTCTAAAAACATTTTTAACAAATTATAATGAGTCTTCTAAGCATTTTAACAGTTTTCACTTAAAGATTCCATCAATTAATCGGATATTAACATGAACAAAAAATGTTTTATTATGTATTACCTATGAAGAGTATTAGATATGCTTGGAGGGGTTAAAAAATTATTTCATAATAGCAACTTGAAAAACAATTACACCCTAGGAGTCTCTTTGAATGCAGAAAGAAAACAGCTGTCATTTAAATTTAAGCCTCATATACCTTTTTGTATTATTTTTTAGTTACTGACTCATTCCTTATAGTATAAATACAAAATACATATTTCTCTCACTTGTGTAGCTTTATGTAGGCTGACTGCTTTGCAATTTAGCTGCCTTCAGGTCTATTTTGCCTTTGTATTTAAATTTATTAATGCTTCTCTGATCAGCAGAACATCAAATTAATACTTAAACATTACGAATACTTTCTTCTACTTGAAAATTTTCCTTCTGAAAATAAACTACCGTAAATATACACCTTTACTGTTCTTTTAAGCCTTACTTATACTGTGATGAAAACGCTGATTAACAAAACAAAATTGAGTGGTATGTTTCACCTTGATGAACACTCGTGCTAAACATTTGAATGATTTGGGGGCAATCAGAGAAGGAATATCATTAAAGACAAAAAAGTTAAGTCCTCTTAGCAATAAGTAAGCTACAAAAATAAAACCGTAGGGAAGTACTTGTTCTATACAAAGAACACAGAAATGTATCCAGGCATCATAATGCGCCAAATAAAAAACTTAAGCTAAATGAGTATTGGACTTCATAGACTGTAGGTTACCTAAGAAAGAACCATAAAGTAAAAGAAGAGTGGAAATTACGAACGGCCGCAAAAACAGACCTAAACAGGACTAAACACTAGAGGATAATGAAGCTCAAGCACACATTATTACGTTCAATTTATTCTACAGCACCGAGATCTCAGCACTGACTACCAGAAAAAGAAGCAAATGAGAAAGAGAAAAATGATAATCAGAAAGAAGCTGAAATTTTCTCTTAGCCGCAATGATATGAAAAGGCGTTTTGATGCTCCTGTTGTTGTTGCTGTCTGCCGTCAAGTCGATTGCGACTCATACTGACCCTATAGGACAGAGCAGAACTGCCCCATGGGGTTTCCAAGGCTGTCATCTTTATGGAAGCAGACTGCCAAATCTTCCTCCCACAGAGCAGCTGATGGGTTCGAACCAACGACCTTTCAGTTAGCAGCAGAGGCTTAACCACTGCGCCACCACAGCCCCTTTTGATACTCCTAACTGCTCATTAAATATCACAGATTCAGAGTGAGAGCTCGTTTAATAAGTTCATCAAAGTCAAAGGTGCCAGTTTTAGTGTTCCAAAAATCAAAACTGGATCCACTGGGTAGAAATCATTGGGGATCAAAGCAAGAAAGCATTTTCTCTCAGTTAGAGATCAAACAGCGGAACAGGCTGCCCAGGAAAACAGCAAGCAACCCACTTCCAAGAAGTGTTCAAAAAAGGCTGCAGAGGCTTCAAAGATGCAGGACTAGTGAGTCTTATCACAGTTCTCCATCTAACCTGCCTGTTTGGCCAAAAAAAAAAAAACTAAACAGGCTGCATAATCAGTCAGGGATATTTTAGAAGGACTTCCTAATGTCAATTTCTTTTCTAGTCTAAAATTAAAATTTTTGTGAAAGTACAAAAGCAGAATTTTGAGTAAATTAATATTTACTTGTATAGGCATGGAAATACAGTGCTAGGTGGCATATTCTTTAAACCTCCTTTGACTTTTAAATATATTTCACATTTTCACATACACTTGATAAAGAAAGGTGATGACATTTTTTCCTGGCAAGTCATAAAGGAAGATACTGAATAAGTTTCAATTGATAGAACCTTTAATTAAAGGATATTATTTAATTGCAAATCAAAAATATTTGGTTGAGAAAGGGGGATGTGTCCAGGTATTAAATTTCTAATTATTTAACAATTGTATACTGTGGTTTCACAAGGCAAATGATTACTAAAACAAGTGAAAAATGAATTTCATTGTACAATTTATCATACCATACCTGATAGCTTTTCACTAATTCAGTCTTCTATGGGTATAAAAAATAAACTATGTATGTGTAAAAATACTGTTTGATTTTAAGAAATAGCACCCCCTACCAGCAAAATAGGAGCCCTCGTGGTGCAGTGGTTGAGAGCTTGTCTGCTAACCAAAATGTCGGCAGTTAGAATCCACCAGCTGCTCCTTGGAAACCCTATGGGGCAGTTCTACTCTGTCCTACAGGGTCGCTATGCGTTAGAACTGACTCAATGCCAACGGGTTTTTTACCAGCAAAATAAAAATGCTAGCAGCAGCTAAAGCAAATTACTAAGCTAAGAAGAAATACTCAGCACTAAAAAGCAACCTATATTTCCCTATTTACAATTTTTCAAAAGACCTATGAACAAAAGCTATCATAAACAGCATGTTTTACTTCCTAACTCAAGAGTAACCAAATTCTCAAAACCACAATAAGAACTCTGTTAGAGAACAGAAATGTTACTGAACAACTTTAGAAGTGTAAAAAAAACAGAATGTGATTAAAAACCTGAGTTTTTATTTGCAGAATCTTCTAGGTTCTCAGCATTTGAAGTTGCTAAATTTTGCTCTAGAGATACAACAGCCCTTTTATCTTCATAGGTTCTTGCATCTGGGTTATGGTAGGCATCTATATTCTGTCTGTGCATCCTATTCAAATCAGCTGAGAGGGAAAAATAAGCCATTTATTTCAATAAACATACTTCTTTAATTATTGTGTTTAGCACATTTTCTTAAAATAGGGAATAATCACCCAGTTCTGGTTTTTGAACTAAAAACCTTAGAATCAGAGAAAGAAAATAACAGAACAGAGCTAGGAATAATTCAATGACATCTTGCTGTCCTGAAAAGAGAAAATTATCAAAACAAATAAGAAATCAAAATCATAATAATAACCTGCAAAATAGACTTAAAGTTAGTTGAGAAATTAAGGACATGGGAATCTTTGACAACCCATAAAAACCATAGCAGTACTTAAGTTACTTCAGAACTTGGAATTTCTTTAATACAGGAAAAAAAATAGCAAGAATTCAAAACAAGTCATAGTGAAATTTACCCAACATCATTAGCTCTCCTAATAAAAAAACATAATCATATGGTGTAGGAGTTTTAAAATATATCTACAAATTCCTTGACAATCCTCCCTCAAAATCTGACATCAATTCCCCTCCTCCTATGTGTGGGCAGAATTAGTAAATTACTTCTTATGAATAAGATACTGTGGAAATGATATACGACTTCCAAAGCTACTTCATAAAAGACAATACGGTTAAAGTCAGCTACCATACCATGAAGATGCTCAATGAGCCCTATGGAAAGGTCCATGTGGCAAGGAATCAAGGCCGCCTCAGCCATGTGAGGGAGCCATATTGGAAACAATCCCTCCAGCTCCAGCTCCAGCCAAGCCTTCAGATGACTGCAGCTCTGGATGGCATCTTGACTGCAACCTCATGAGAAACCCTGAGACAGAATCACCCAGCTAAACTGCTCCCAAATTACTGATGCACAGAAGTGCAAGATAGTAAATGTTTATTTTATTTTAAGACACCTTTAAGTTTTGGGGTAACTTGTTTCACAATACCATAGATATCTAATACACATGGCAAAAATATGTACACATACAACTGGGTCAAACAAGCAGTCTCAAAAACAAACCTGATTGATTGCAGAAGTCAGAATTTAACAAAAGAAAAGTAGTTTTTCACAAAAAAAATAACTACCAAATCTGGGACACTATGGCAGCAGTGAAAGTGAACTTAAACTTGGATATAAGAAGTATTTATCAGGAAACCTATTATGCTCGAGGATGTACTTTGTTTAAGAACATGAATCACAATTAGAATACCAGATAAAACAAAAAACCAAACAAGGTGCTGACAAGTTGATTCCAACCCATGGCAACCCCGTGTGTGTCAGAGAAGAATTGCGCTCCAAAGGGTTTTCAACGGCTGTGATCTTTTGGAAGTAGGTCGCCAGCCCTTTCTTCCAAGGCACTTCTGGGTAGGTTCAAATCACCAACCTTTCGGTTATTAGCTGAGCACTTAATCTTTTGCGCTACCCAAGGACTCCAGAATGACAGACAGAACATGACAAATGCCATGTGAATGTTACAAAAGAGAATGGGAGTTCGGAATCAGGAAATTTCGCATCTTGTTGAGCTATTTAAGCAAGTCTGCACTTGGAAAATGGGCAGGAGCTTCACAGGTGAAGATAAGTGGGAAAGGATAAAAATGGAATAAAGTAGTTTAGCTTGACTAGAGCACAAAGAACATGTAACAGAGCATTAGGAGAAAAGACAGGAAATGAAAAGTGGAGGCCTGTTCTGGATTTCCCATAGGGCAAGCGATTTGTTTCCTCAACTTTGTTCTGATGGAAGGTAGTGGAGACAGCTATGGTAGTTCTAGAAGTAGAGGTAATAATAATGGTAACTAACATTTAATGTTTATCATTTTTATATATTCTACAACAACCTATATGATGTAGTACTATTATTTTCACCCCTAGTTACAGATGAGAAAATTAAACAAACTTGCTCAAAGACAACAAAGCCAGAGCAAGAACTGAACTCAGGCAGTGGAACTCCAGAGTCCTCAATGATTTTGAGTAAGGTTATACTTTTAATACAGGTTATGACTCGGATGTGAAAAATAAAGACAATGAAATAATGGTGAAGAAATGGCAACATCCCAGGCAAAACGTAATAAATCTCCATTATGGTGGTAGTAAGAATGAAAATGAGAATTCAGGAAACAGTGAGAGGCAGAATCTGTACATTAGGCTTATCAACTGACTGGATGTGGGGAGTCAAAAGGGCTCTGTGCTTTTTCAATCTGAAAGATCAGAATTACAATGCCTTTAACAGAAATAGGCAAGTAAAGATGAGCTGAACTTTAAAGTTTGGTTTTGCAGGCTAGGTATAAGCAATCCACCAAACATCAGATGCAGAGATGCAGAAGACAGGTTAGAAATGACATGGAGGAGTTTTGAGAGTGGTCAGGCCTAGAGAAAGAGACCTGAGTATCATCTGTAGAGATAGCCTAAGGAGTATGAGTCCCAGAAGAGATGGAGAGCGAGAGAATGGATGAAGGGATGAGTCTATCTAACTTAAGGAACACACGGGGTCAGAAGACAGTCCTCAGAACAGAGATCATGCTCACACACCTAGCAGAGCCTAGCCTGTTTCATAATGCACACCCAATAAATGTCTGCTGAAGAGAAGATGCACAGGACTTAAAGGAAGGAAAGAACTGTCAGCCCAGTTCAAAGAAGATTAAATCAGAAATTAGGACATCAGTTAATTTTGAAAATGTAGCATTAGTAAAGTGGTGGGATCTAGAAGTTACATTATTGAAGATTAGATAATAAGAGGCTGGTAAGAAGTGGCAGCAGCAAACACAGATTACTTTTTGAACATATTTTATAAGTAGCAGGGTCAAGAGCAGAGTTTTTGATTGTTTGTGTTTAAAAATACAAGTGAGCTCAGCATGTTCAGAGGTAGAAGAGAAGAAATGAGTTGAAGGAAAAACTAAAAATGCAAGAGAAAATAGATTGGATGAAATCACAGAGGAAAGCTGATCGCAAGAAAATTACCAAGTGCCAAAGATTAGCAAGGCAGGTAGGTGAAATCACCATCAAATCCTGGGGTCTATCCGGATATGGAAGGTGAAAGAAACAGAAAGACAATGGGAAATCAGTATCTCTTTACCATCCAATTTGCTAGAACAGTGTTAAGAAGACCAGTCAATATAAATAAGTCACTCTGAATAATAACACATACATTAGTCTTCTATAATCTATTACTAGACTGCAATATATCAAGCTCATTCCTGCCTTCCAGACGACACTCAGAGCTCTGTTGACAAACCAGTCAGTACTTAGGGAATACAATCTCATTTTGACATTCAGCTGCACACACTATAAATCAAAAGATAAACATAAGTAAACAAACACTATAATAAACTTCAAAATAATTCTGTAGTTGTTGTTAGGGGCCGTGGAGTCAACTTCAGCTTGTAGCGACTCTATGTGACAGAGTAGAACTGCTCCATAGGGTTTTCTAGGCTGTAATCTTCATGGGAGCAGATCACCTGGTCTTTTTCCCTCCGAGTCCCTGGGTAGGTTTGAACGGCCAACCTTTTGGTGAGCAGCTGAGCACTTAACTGTTGGCATCACCAGAGCTCCTTTCAAAATCATTACCATGTTATAATTTATTATTATGATTATACATGATCCTCTCAATTAAAGTGATATTCAATGTATTTATATTAAAGGAAAATTAATTGTATTAGAAAGCATATTTATTATTTAAGACTAACAGATTCTGCAATAAAAAAAATTCATATTGCTTTTTATTGGAAACAATGTGTTTGTCAGTCAATTAGTCTCAGCTTGTCCACCTTTCTGTTAAGCGGCAGAGCGAAATGTCTGAAATAAGCTGAAAAGAAAAAAAAGGGAGCCCTGGTGGCGGAGTGGTTAAGAGCTCAGTTGCTATCCAAAAGGTCGGTAGTTCGAATCCACCAGCCACTCCTTGGTAACCCTATGGGGCAGTTCTACTCTGTCCTGTAGGGTCACTATGAGTCAGTATTGACTCGACGGCAACGGGTTTGGGTCAAGAGTGTAATCTGTCGACTGCAAAATGCCACTGAAAAAGGGCCTTTATTTCAAATGTAAATCATATCCTATAAAATTATTAGCATTATAAGAATACTTCTGCACCTAACAGAGTAACAAAATAAAGTATCACAGATTAATGAATGCGAAAATAATTCTACTCTCTGATTAACTTATTAGACCAGGGCTAACTTGTATGATAGTGATAAGTAAACAATACGTCAATAGTACTTAATTTTTTTCATTCCTTATTTTTTTATTTTTTATTGTTGTGCTTTAAGTGAAAGTTTACAATTCATGTTAGTCTCGCATACAAAAATTTATACATACGTTGTTATGTGACCCTTGTTGCTCTCCCGGTACTGTGACAGCACACTCCTCCTTTCCATCCCAGATTTCCCATGTCCATTCAACCAGCTCCTGACCCTCTCTGCCCTCTCATCTCGCCCCCGGACAGAAGCTGCCCACCTAGTCTCATGTATTTACTTGAGCTAAGAAACACACTCTTCACAAGTATCAGTTTATGTCCCACAGTCCAGTCTAATCTTTGTCTGAAGAGTTGGCTCTGGGAATGGTTTTAGTTTTAAGCCAACAGACAGTCTGAGGGCCATGTCTTCCAGGGTCCCTCCAGTCTCAATCAAACCATTAAGTCTGGTCGTTTTACTGAAATTTGAGTTCTGTACCCCATTTTTCTCCTGCTCCATCAAGGACTCTCTGTTTTGCTCCCTGTCAGTGCAGTCTTTGGTGGAGCCGGGCACCATCTAGTTCTTCTGGTCTCAGGCTGATGAAGTCTCTGGTTTATGTGACCCTTTATGTCTCTTGGGCTAACACTTTCCTTGTGTCTATGGTGTTCTTCATTCTCCTTTACTCCAGGTGG